AAATCATCACTTAGAAAGAACTAAAAATAGTGCACAGTATTCAGGAAGTATTTCAGCCCTCAGGTTGTAGCTGTCACCGAAAAAATCTACTGATACTGACCGCTGGACGGCTTTGTCGTGTCTGGAGAGCCTGTGACTCGTGGTTGGCACCTCCTCGATCTCGTCGATGTCACAGGCATCCGCAGCATCTTGTGAGTAGTTGTGTTTCATGACGAGAATGTTTCGTCTGTTCATGGGTGGAATGAGGGGCTTGGCAGGCTGCGCAGGCATTTCTGTCAGGATCGAAGCATCTCTTGTGCTGAGGTTACTGCGGCTGCCTTTTGCGCTGGACAGTTGGGATCCACAGTGATGGTCATGAATGCATTTGGAAGAGGACCTCCGCAGTTTATGGTAATTTTCAAAGTCATCTGCCACATCTGCAAAGTCGGCTGCTGCTCCTGTCCCTCTGAGAGTACACAGCTCATAGTGCGGAGGCTCAAAGACCTCCTGGAAAACGGTCTGGTCAAAGTCTGATTTCCTTTGGACGTATTTTTTACGAGGCTGTTTGATCTGTACAATGACAGAAACGATAATAAGGATGATCACAATGCAGGAAGTCACGCCAATGACAGTCCCACTGGTGTTGGTCAGCTGGTCCAGCAGGCTGGTTTTCCTCTTTTCTGCAGGTAGGAGACAGCGAAAACAACAGACAGACAAAACGAGAAACAACCCACCTTACATTAATATTATGGCAACACATTCATTGAAAACTTTAAAATGAAATAGGCTGAGCATTCAATTTTCGCAGGTGTAAAGCAGCATCAAAATATTTAAATATAAAACCTGTTCTCACTTTTTGCAAGAGCCCTACCTTCCAGCCCCTGAAACACTCTTCCCATTGCCCAGCATATCAACTTCACATAAGTACACATATATACTTATATACACATGAACACACATATGAATATCTACATCTACATACATGTATATGTTGAAGAAATTTGTACAAGATCTGTGGCAGAACATTTGGGAAGAAACTGGTACTTTATATGGTAAATGATTATCTTCTCTCAGTTTTAAGGATACCTGTAAACCCCATAATTGGGAATGCCAATCTATCCATGTTACTCTGCACTTATGCTTGACAGCGACTGCAGAAGTTAAGCTAAGCACACTATCCTGATACCAAAAATAATTCAATCCAGATTCCAGATAGAAATTTTGGAATGGTGTCATGAGGGCCCGCATGGATTCCTTGCCAAACTAAGAAGCCATAATTGGCAAAAATTGCTGTGAGAAGGAATTGAATTTAAATTCTTATTTGATGAATTTCTGTAAAATGTCTGAAAGGTACACAGCAAGTGAAGATGTCCCTATCTGAAAAAAAAAAAAAAATAAGCTGAAGTTCCTTAGGCAGAGTGGGCATCTACAGCCTTTGAACCACAACAGACTCTGTACCCTCAAATTACTTTCTCTGCTCAGGGAAGTTTTAGAAAAGGACACAAGATATCGAATGCAGAAAATGTAAAAGAACCTCAGAAAAATGTAGTAAACAAACTAACATGCTCACATCGTGTAGTGGGATTCTAGGAGAGGAGAAATAGAAAAAAAAAATTTAGAGTAATGGCTGAAGTTTTCCACTTGAGGATGCAGCCTGTATCTAAGTTTAATAAATTCCAAGTAGAAGAAATGCAAAGCATTCCACACCTAGACATATACTGTTTTAAAAGTCAAAGAGAAGCAGATAAAGAAAAAAATATAGAAATAGGCATCCCAAAAACACTCATCAGGAGCCCCACTCAGACTATCACCTGGTTTGACATCAGTGGAGACCAGAGGCGGCAGGGTAGTAAATTCAAAGTGCTGCCAGTGAAAACAAAGCCCAAATCACCACAGCGAAAACTGTAGGCCAAACCATAATACCCATCAAAGCTACTTTCAAGAATGAAATAGATACTGATGGATAAGTAAAAGCAAAACCAGAATTAATGTTGAAAGACATGTCTCAAAGGAAATAAGGAAGGAAATTCTTTGAGGAGAAAACAAGTGACCTAACACAATGGCAAACCCACATGAAAAAGTTAAAGAAAATAGCTCGAATCAAAAAATAAATATGGAGGCAATTATTTCAAGATTTGAGAAACACAGTACAGCTGAGTGCTTATTCAATCATCTTCATTTATTTTTTTAGACACAGCACTGGATGTATATAATTGTACTGTTTCAGTCTACCACTTACAGAAATATCACGCACTTGGTGACAGTCATACAGATAAGATTGATGAGGGCTAAGCTATTGCTGGAGCCAAGGATAAAAGAAGTCTAC